GTCATCAGAAAGCATGCCTATTTCTCCCAAATGTCCAGCAGATGGCAGTCGAGTGTCTTGAGGAAGGGGCCCCTCTTCATCTGTGGGCAGGCATCTCTGCTCTGGTGCGTGTCTGACTCAGGCTGAGTGAGGGTGGATGCAAAAGGCAGCAGATGCTCCCCACCTGGCATGGTCCCCCTGCTAGTAGTACTAACCTGTCCACCCACTTGGTAGCCATCCCCCTTTGGCAGAAGGTCATGCCTGTGCCCTGGAACTCTAAAGGTTCTCAACTGCTCAGTCATTGAAAATGAAGCCAGAATGCTGACTCCCCCTGAGGGCAGCATCCGATCACTACTTAATATTGCGTGGAGTGGAAACTAGAGGGATGTTCCTCAAAATGTGACCAATTAACAGTATCTCTGAAACGTCTCTAAAATTAAATATTTTTGAAAGGCATAAACCCTACGAGGAGCAAATAAATATAAGAGGAACTAACAGAAAATGTGCTGACAATTTTCTGGAAGTTGGAGCCACATCTGCCTTGGATTCCAAGTGCCTCCAGAGAGAGGTCTCCACCCTCCTGGAAAATAAACAAACAGCACCCACCTTCTCAAAACCCTGGATGTTCCCAGTACTCAAGCATCAAGCCTTTGATGTGGGAAGGAGGAATGAGGCTAAAAACATGTCAATGGCAAACTTCTATGTCAGGAGCAACTGGCTCCGAGAATCCCCTGTGCTCAGCACTAGACCTACTTGCTGACACAAAGAATAAGAAGAAAGTATGAGGGTCTTGGTTCTGTGGCTCACTGACATCCAAGATAAGGTCTCTACAGTCTGCTTTGTCAACATGGTTGTCAGCTGCAACCTTCAACACCTGGGCAAGGTGAAAGGAAGCAAAAGAAGGAAGAAAGAAAGTCCCAAGGCCCCTGATCTCAGGAAAACCAAAGCTTTCCCAGTTTGCTTATGACTCTTGGTCATCCTTGAGTTCTGTGATCACATGATTTACAAAGAAATGGAGACAAATACCAACCACTGGAGGAAGTAGGAAAGGCAGGTAGAAGGAACGGTGGACTAGGTGAGATGAGGGAGTTTCTTGAGAGGTGTGCTAGTCGGGTGGACACCCAGTATCAGAGATGTCTTCTCTTGGACTGGCCAGGTGTCAGTGTGGGCTTCCCTAACCTCCAGTAGGGGTATGCACGCAAAATCCAGAATTTCAGCACCTCACAGAGGTAGAAAGTGAGAAGTCTCAGTAGACCACCTCTCAAGGAGACTCATCTCTCCTGCCTTTGATGTCCCAGAGAGATTGGGACCAGCCCCTGGCTGGGAGAGTCTGCTGGTCTTTGTTGGGCCACGGTGTACCTCCACCATCCAAGACGCCTTCTATCCCACTCTTCAGATTCTGAGACCTGCATATGCTTGCCTCTCTATCACTTCCACCTCAGGAATCCACAGAGTAGATAAAACAGAAGCACAGAGTTACCACGGCTTCATCCATGTGCTAGTTTCAATCCCTCACCTGTATGGGAGTGGATAAGTAAAAGATGGAGGACTCATAATACAGAATGCTCTTCAGATATCAGAAGCAAAGAACTGGCTGCCTACACCACACCACAAATGGAGTTTAAAACCAGAGCATTGAAAGAGAAACATAAGAAAAGAATGAAATCTAGAATAATATCCATTTATATAAATGAAAAGTGCATACACACAAATGGCCAATAAATCATGAAAAAGTGCTCAATTTCATTAGTCATCAGGGAAATGCCAATTAAAACCACAATGTGAAACCTCTATACTCCCACTCAAGTGACTAAAATAAAAACAACAAAAATACCAAGCGCTAGAGAATGTAGATGAACCATTTACTATTAGTGGAGGATACACTGGTAGAACCACTTTGGAAAACTGTCTAGTGGTGCCTACTAAAAGCTCACACATGCCCTTGTATGACTCAACAGTTGCATCTTCAGACATGCATGTGCCCTGCATGAACAGGTACTTACATTCTCAAAATTCAGGCCCTAGTGTTCACAGTGTCCTGCTCATAGGAATCCAGAACTAGAAACTGGAAGTGCTCCCAAACCATAAATGGATAAATATGGTTTGGGATATGCATTATGATGGCATTCAGCACAGCAATGGCAGTAAATGAGCTACAACAACAAACACCCATTTGGGTGAATCTTACAATATAAAGCTGATCAGAGGAACAAAAGAAGTTGTTTTTTATGATTCTATTTTAAATATCAATACCAGAGCAAAGCTAGCAGAGGGAACTCTGTGGTGGTGTAGTAGTCTAGCCCAGGTGGCATGGCCAGCTACAGGAAGAGAGGATGAAGGGGACATCGGGGTGGGGTTCTGCTTTGCTTCCATGTGCTGCTTCTATATATGTGTCCAACTGGAGAAAAGCCATGAGCACTTAGAAACCTGAACACTTAGAAAATGCGCACCTTCTGATACAGAGGTTCACAGAGAGGAAACATCAAATGAAAGGCCTGGGCAGTACAAGCAAAACACATGAGAACAAACAGTAATACTACATATTTTAGAAAAGTATGCATATATTAGACGACCTTTTTTCCCCCAACACTAGAATGAACCCAGGACCTTCACACTGAGCTACACTTCCAGTCTTTTTTAGCTTTAATTTTTTAAAAGTTTAAGACAGGATCTTGCTAAGCCACTACCATGCCCAGGCTGGGCTTGAATTTATGATCCTCTTGCCTCAGCCTTCCAGAGCACTGGGATGATAAACATGTGCCACCATGTCCAGCTAAATACTTACTTTATCATCTATTAGAGATGGCACTTGTGTGAGGAGGGAAGCAGCGTGGATAGTAGTTAACAGGGGAGAGAAGTAAAGTCGTGTAAGAGTCTTACAGGGGTCCTCTTCGATACTGTGCTTAATTCAACTTTGAGTCTAAGGTAGAAGACAAGTGGGATGAAAGAAACACTGGTCTCAACAAACCTCCGATTGCTTTCCAGCTGGTGGCACATTCCTCTTTCACAGCCCAGAGCGTGGCAGGGCTCCCTGTGGGCTGGTGCCATCTCCAGATGCCTGTGCCCTCCCTGCAGGCTACAGCCTCCTTCAGATGCATCCTGGGTTTTCCTCTCCAACTCTTCATGAGCTCACAGATCTGATTGCTTCTTCCCGTGGGATCCTGGTCCCACCTCCCGCTTCCATTCTGTGCTATCCCTGGATTTGGCCCTCACCCAGCAGTAAGGAGGCACATGAAAACCCTACCTGTGCTAGGTAGAGAGGGGCATCAGCATCCCATTCCCATCCCCATCACCTGTTCTCCCAGCCTTCTCTCCTGCTGGGCCTGACGTCCATGCGCCCGTGTGAATCTTCATTCCGGACCCTGAGGCCTGTGGCGCAGTGTCTCAGGAAGGGTGGGACCCTGCTGCTCCTTCGCTCTCTTCCTGCCTACTGCCTGCCCAAGCTCTGGGAAGGCGCGTTCGCCCTCGAGCTGACTGGGCGGCTCACTCTGGCCACTAGTGGGAGCTGCCGGCCAACCTGAGGCCGGGCAGAGGTTGAAGCCCGAGACGGGTCTGCGGTCCGCGTGTCTGGTCAGCTTGGCGCCTGGCCCCGCTGGGAGCTAGAGGGTCTTGCACCCTGTATTTGCAGTAGACTTTTACCGAGCCCTTATGAAATCATCCCCCTCCCTGCCCACATGAGGTACCTGTGACCCCTGTACCTCCATATCCAAGACCCCACGACACTTCCCAGCTCTGCCTCAAAATCCCTAAAACAAAGGGAGCAGGTCCCACATCTTGTCCTCCCAAAGCCAGCACCGCAGTGCCCTCTGAGACTCCAGCGCACGTCTGCCTTCCAGGTGTGATTCTTGCTTCTAGGAGCCCTGAAAATGTGGGAGAGAAAAAAGTAAAATGTGTTGCAGATGAAGACAGATCACACACGTGTGCTTCTGGGATGGCTCTGGCCAGTGGCCACTGTAAGCCAGGCATGGCCTTGTCCCTTCCCACACCCTCAGGCAAAGGCTGGTGGTCCCGTCTGATTTGGACAGAAGAAGTGGGACCTGGATGCTACCCCGAGGTTCTAGGTGTGGGCTAGAACATACATAGGAGCCCACGTGAGCAAGGACGTCTCTCGGAGTGTGTAACAGTGTCCTTGTGTGGGAGACCAGGGACATGTCAGCGTGACTCTGGGTCTCTGTGTATGTTCAGATCCACAAGGTTGTACAAGGTGGGGGAAGGTGTGAATGTGCCTGCCTCTGTATGGGTGTTGGTGTGTGTGTTGGTTGTGTACTTGATCTGGGCCTGGGTGTGTGCTGGATTCTGCCAGCACATGTGTGTCCGTGTGTCTGTGGATGTATCCACTGTTGTCCAAGTTTTCGTGCAGTCACGGTGTGTGTCCTTAGGACAGTGTGGTTCTATCTGTATATGGAGTGGTGGTGGATATGGGTTTCTGAGTTATGAAGTGTCCCTGGGTTTGTCAAAGTGTCTGTTTTGGTGTCAGCGTGTGTCAGGGATGTGTCTGTTTGTGTCCGTGTGTCCGTACGTGTGTGTGTGAAGGAGGTGTATGTCCGTCGCAGTATGGATGTACACATGTGCACAGGTGTCTGTGGTGGGGTCCCGAGTAAGCGAGGAGGGGTGTATGTGTGCGTGAGTGTGCGCGCGTGTGTGCCCTCGGTCAGCGCGGCGCGTGTCTGTCCGTGTCGGCGTGGGTGGCTCTCCGTGGCGGCGCGTCCCCAGGCCGGTGTGCGCACGCCGCCGTGCGCCAAGTCAGTGGTCCGTCCGCGTCCGCGTGGGCGCTGTCCATGGCGGGGCGCCCCGTGTCGGCGCGGGGGTGTTCGCCCCGGCGAGGGCCGCGGGCGGAGCGCCACGTGTGGAGCCGGGCTAGTCGCTCTGGGGCGGAGCCAGCCGGGAGCCCCGAGCCCCAGGCCGAGCCCAGG